CCAACCAGTATGCACACCTAAGTAATGTATATTAGAGCTGATTTCCTCTACTGTTTATTACAGTATACAGTACACTATAAACATTTTAAAATATACTAAAAATGTTATAAATGTTGCAAAGGTGACATTAAAAAATATATCAAAGATGGTTGACACAAACCCACTACCAGTATAGTATGCTCTAGAGATGTATCAGATGTGAAATTTAGATATCCATGGATGCGGATGTATATGAGGATGTCTTACTTATTTTGCGGATGCATATGCAGATTTCTGTTTACAGTAAGATGTGAATGTAAGAAATTGTGGGGATGTTCCACAGATGCAGATGCAGATATCAGATACATCTCTAGTATGGTCCTCACTTAACGAGCAATTCGTTTACAGACCTCTTAGGAACGGAACCCTGTCATTAAGCGAAGAAAGGCTGTACAGTTATCATACGTATTGTAAATTACCTAGGATAACCCAAAAAAAAAAGTGTTGCATTGTGCTTGTAGATACATGTATAAGGCATGAGCATTAATGCAGCAAATAAACGTTTCGGCCACAGTTGTTCAGATACAATGAGTCTGCATCTTGTGTAATACCTGTTTGGCTAGTTTACTATCATTGGCCCGTACATACGTATTCCATATGATTCTCAGATGTGTTTGTTATTAACTTAGTTAATTTCTGAAGACCAGTCAATACACGCAGTGTTTAAATATGCTGCTATGTCTAATAATTTATGTATTTAACTATATTTATGTGTATATTTACCTAATTAAATTGACTGACAGACTTGACGTACTGACATGACTTATTGACTTGACTGACTGACTAGCTATAGTTAGTGAAAAATGACCGACTGAGGGAACAAAACTGAGATTGAGAAAGAATGATGCGAGATGAGATGCTTGATGCTGAGACGTGCTGCCATTTTCACGGCCAAAGTTCTCACACAGCTTACAATACTGACTGGTCAGAGTGCTGGTCATATTTGTGAGTGGCCATTAAAAAGGTAGGTCGTTAAGTGAGGAGTACCTGTACAAAGTCCCTGAAAGAATGAGCTCAAAAGAGAATGCAGGCAGACCAGCATCTTCTGAAAACTTAAAAAACTACTACTGCTAAATTATAATTATATTAGTTATTATTATATTTATTAATTCTTTTTTTTAACATGTTGGCTGTCTCCCACCAAGACAGGGTGACCAGGAAAAGTATTTTCACCATCATTATGCTATCACTGTCTTGCCAGAGGCACGCAGATACAGCAGATAGATGTCACTCTAAACAGCAAATACAGTGGAACCTTGCCTAACGAACGCATCGCATAACGTTAAATCCGCCTAGCGATACATTTTAACGCAAAAATTTTGCCTCGGCTAGCGCTAAAAACTCGCTCAACGCGGTTCGTTCGAGACGCGTCCACGTGCGGCCTGAGCCCGCCTCACTTGTTCCGTGGGTGCCAGTGTTTACAAGCCAGCCACTGTGGTCGCTTCCAAGCATACAAGCGGAACATTTCATATTATCACAGCCATTTTAGTGATTGCACCTGCAAAATAAGTCACCATGGGCCCCAAGAAAGCTTCTAGTGCCAACCCTACAGCAAAAAGAGTGAGAATTACTATGGATATGAAGAAAGAGATCATTGCTAAGCATGAAAGTGGAGTGCGTGTCTCCGAGCTGGCCAGGTTGTACACAAAACCCCAATCAACCATCGCTACTATTGTGGCCAAGAAAATGGCAATCAAGGAAGCTGTTCTTGCCAAAGGTGCAACTTTGTTTTCGAAACAGAGATCGCAAGTGATAGAAGATGTTGAGAGACTGTTATTGGTGTGGATAAACGAAAAACAGATAGCAGGAGATAGCATCTCTCAAGCGATCATGTGTGAAAAGGCTAGGAAGTTGCATGACAATTTAATTAGAAAAATGCCTGCAACTAGTGATGATGTGAGTGAATTTAAGGCCAGCAAAGGTTGGTTTGAGAGATTTAAGAATCGTAGTGGCATACATAGTGTGATAAGGCATAGTGAGGCTGCCAGTTCGGACCACAAAGCGGCTGAAAAATATGCGCAGGAATTCAAGGAGTACATAGACAGTGAAGGACTGAAACCTGAACAAGTGTTTAATTGTGACGAAACAGGCCTGTTTTGGAAGAAAATGCCAACCAGGACCTACATTACTCAGGAGGAAAAGGCACTCCCAGGACATAAGCCTATGAAAGACAGGCATACTCTGTTGATGTGTGCCAATGCTAGTGGTGATTGCAAAGTGAAGCCTTTATTGGTGTATCACTCTGAAACTCCCAGAGTGTTCAGGAAAAACAATGTCCTCAAGGCTAATTTGTGTGTGCTGTGGAGGGCAAACAGTAAGGCATGGGTCACTAGGGACTTTTTCTATGACTGGTTACACCATACATTTGCCCCTACTGTGAAAAATTACCTAATTGAAAAGAAATTAGACCTTAAGTGCCTCCTGGTATTAGACAATGCTCCTGGTCATCCTTCAGACGTGGCAGAGCGACTTTCTGCGGAAATGAGCTTCATTAAGGTCAAGTTTTTGCCTCCAAATACCACTTCTCTCCTGCAGCCCATGGACCAGCAGGTCATTTCCAACTTCAAGAAACTGTACACAAAAGCTATGTTTGAAAGGTGCTTTGTAGTGACCTCAGAAACTCAATTGACTCTAAGAGAGTTTTGGAGAGATCACTTTAGCATCCTCAATTGTGTAAACATTATAGGTAAGGCTTGAGAGGAAGTGACTAAGAGGACCTTGAACTCTGCTTGGAAGAAACTGTGGCCAGAATGTGTAGACAAAAGGGATTTTGAAGGGTTTGAGGCTAACCCTGGAATCCTATGCCAGTTGACGAATCCATTATGGCATTGGGGAAGTCCTTGGGGTTGGAGGTTAGTGGGGAGGATGTGGAAGAGTTGGTGGAGGAGGACAATGAAGAACTAACCACTGATGAGCTGCTAGATCATCTTCAACAGCAAGAGGCCACACCTGAGGAAACTGCTTCGGAGGAGTGGATAGAGAAATTGAAGAAGTTGCCTACTTCAAAGATTAAGGAAATGTGTGCAATGTGGCTTAAAGTGCATACCTTTTTTGATGAAAATCACCCTCACACAGCTATTGCAAGCCGTGTTGGCAACCTGTATACTGACAATGTTGTGAAACACTTTAGGAATATCATAGAGGAACGGGAGGTACAGGCCTCTGTGGACAGATATGTTGTGCGACAGAAGTCCAGTGACTCTCAAGCTGGTCCTAGTGGCATTAAAAGAAAAAGGGAAGTAACCCCAGAAAAGGACTTGCCACCTCAAGTCCTAATGGAAGGGGATTCCCCTTCTAAACATTAACACCATCCACAGTCTCCCCTCCTCCCATCATAAGAACATAAGAACGAAGGAACACTGCAGAAGGCCTACTGGCCCATGCGAGGCAGGTCCAAGTCTCCTACCGGCTTAAGCCAATGCACCCAACCTAGTCAGGTCAGGTCACATTGACTTAAGGGAGGAACACGGCAACCGACCTGGTAGCACAAGCTATCAGGTCCAACTCACACCCAGCCACATCCACTCATGTATTTATCCAACCTATTTTTAAAGCTACACAACGTTCTGGCCTCTATAACTGTACTCGGGAGTTTGTTCCACTCATCCACAACTCTATTACCAGATCTTCAATAAAGGTAAGTGTCATGTAACTGTGCATGTCTTCTTCAGTTTGTGTGTATTAAAATTAATATTTCATGTGGTAAAAATTTTTTTTTGTTCATACTTTGGGGTGTCAGTAATGGATTAATTTGATTTCCATTATTTCTCATGGGGAAAATTAATTCGCGTAACGATAATTTCGCCTAACATTGAGCTCTCAGGAACGGGTTAATAGCGTTAGGCGAGGGTCCACTGTATGCCAAACCCCTCCTTTAGAGTGCAGGCACTGTACCTCCCACCTCCAGGACTCAGGTCCAGCTGGTTACCTTGAATCCTTTCATAAAGTATTACCCAATGGAAAGAAGCCATTTGTCTGACTTTCTTGGGTTATCCTAGGTTCTCTACACACATGCTGCTATATATGATAATCTATGTAACTGTATTTGTGTATACCTGGATAAGCTTACTTACCCTACTCACATTACAACAGCTCATCAAGTTCCAAAGATAATTTGTTTCCACTCATATCTAACACGCTCTACAGTTTATACACCCTCCAAGTCATCGTATTTTGCTCCATCCTCTCTAAATGACCAAAGCACCTCAGCAACCCCTCCTCAGCCCTCTGGATAATACTTTTAGTTACTTCGCATTTCCTCCTAATCTCCAAATTACAAATTCTCGGCATAATATTTGTGCCACGCATTGCCCTCAGATACGGTATCTCCAATGCCTCCAGCCTCCTCCTTGCTTCAACGTTCACAACCCATGCTTCACACCCATATAAGAGTGTTGGTACCACTATACTCTCCACCACCAACGCTACAACTTTTATACTAAAACTTTTATAAATTATATTTGATATTGCGTGATCTCCAGAATTATTAATTATTATTATTACCATAATACAGCCTCTCGTCATTTAGCAACGTACTTATTTATTAACCACTTGGACTTAGGACGGGCTCTCTGACCAGAATGTATATACTATATTAGTGCTGATTTCCTCTATTCTGTTTATTACAGTACATTAAATTACTGTATAAACATTTAAAAATATACCAGAAATGCTATAAATGGTGCTAAGGTGACATTAAAACAATATCAAAGATGGTTGACACAAATCTGCTGCTCTTATAGTATGCTCCTCGCTTAGTGACGAATTGACTTACCCAAGTTGCCTCAGAAATGGAACTCCATCATTAAGTGAGGAGAGGCTGTATTATGATGATAATGATAATAGTAATATTTACTGGAATAGGAAGCATGGATAATAAGGTGCCTGGGATACCTTGTTTGATCATGTAGTGAATCAAAATATATGTAGCTTTAAATGTAACATTGTACTTAATTTAACAGATCAGATCTGTAGGGTACACACCACGACGACATCAGCCAGTAAGCAGAGGCTCATTGCGGGTAGTATCTACTCATGGATATTCTGTCGCTGGAAAGAGAAAGCAAGTTAGTACAGTTTCAGTGTTTAGTTGAGGCAACACAAAATTAAAAGTTAGCCCTGTCAGTTATACAAGGCGTTGCACAGCAGAAAAGAATAAATACCAAATACAAACACTGGGAAAAAAAAATGCAGGTATGGGGATGATCAGAACTATGAGGCTTTAGTTCTATATGTTATGGGACTCTAAGCTTAACATACTGATGCAAAAGACTATCTGCACATTACCACATACAGACAAAACATTAAAGAATCATTTTATTCACCTAACCTGGATTTTGGCCATGGTGGCATTTATTTTTTTCTGTTGCTCAGTGCCTTGTACATATTGATAGTAATTATGACCTGATTGACTCCAAGGTAGCTGTTGTTATCTGTGCCATTGTAAGTTGAACTGTTATTTCCTATAGATGCACTGTTATAAATAAGGGTTCTGTTCCTGGGAACTAAGTTTATAATCTAAAATATTTTTGTTGAGACAAAATTACCCAACAAAATTACCCAACAAAAGGCTGCAGTCAGAATAACAAATTCCCACTACAGGCAGCACACTCCACCAATATTCAAAACACTAAACCTACTCACCATACAAAACATCCATACTTATTACTGCACCTATTACATACATAGAACACTTAACTCTGATATTAACCCTCCCCTCAAACATCTGCTTGCCAACCTCAACAGAACACATGACCATAACACAAGGCACAGATCACTCTTTGATGTTCCTCGTGTCCATCTCACGCTATGCAAAAACTCAATGCACATAAAAGGCCCTAAAATCTGGAATTCATCACCTGTAAATATAAAAGAAACACTACCTGTTTATAAATTCAAGTCTCCTCTCAAAGATCACTTACTCACCCAAAACCAAATAAATACTGAATAACTGAATCTTATAAATTGTTTATCTTAAATGTTTCTCACAATTATATCACATAAATGTTAAACCTAAGACCCAATCTAACTTTGTTATCTTTTAAATTCACTACCTAACAGAATACTCCATTCAACTTAATGTACAGCAATGCATGCAACCATATGACCTGTCTTTGTAATACTCATTTGTGCTTTATTGTTATCTGTTTACAATAATGTTTTATCACTGATTACATCATTGCTTAGTTAATCTTAAGTTAATTTTAAGCCAGCCCGTAATGCTATTCATACAAGTGGCTTTGGCATGCTGCTCTTACCTGTATTTTTTTGTACCTCTGTATGTATGTTCAAATTATAAAATAAATAAATAAATAAATAAATAAATAAATAAATGCTGGTGATGGAGAGGAAGGAGGGAGGGAGGGGAGGGGAGGGGAGGAGAAGAGAGGACAGGAGTATGGTTGTAAGATAAGGGTTGCCTGTACAGTATTGTATTTTTTAAATATTAAAGAGTTTATTTCTTAATTTGACCCTTAAGTTTTATTTTTATAGATTTTAGCAGATAATTTTTAATATACAGTGGACCCCCGCATAACGATCACCTCCGAATGCGACCAATTATGTAAGTGTATTTATGTAAGTGCGTTTGTACGTGTATGTTTGGGGGTCTGAAATGGACTAATCTACTTCACAATATTCCTTATGGGAACAAATTCGGTCAGTACTGGCACCTGAACATACTTCTGGAGTGAAAAAATATCGTTAACCGGGGGTCCACTGTATTTGTTATATTGATGCAAATGGTAATTTATCTTGTGGACAAATTAAACCAGCCATTAATATTCATTTTAAAAACCCTTAAGCAGAGTGGCTGCTTTCAGCCTTGCTTTGGTAGTTTCATCAATGTCTTGTGAGTTTCATCAAGTTATGTACTTATTAATCATGTTTAGTCTCATTTATTTTCTTAGAATATAGTAGAATATTTTTTAACCTTAAATTGTACAAATTAAAAGAACCAATTTTCTTAGTGTACCGATTGCTGCTGTTATGTCTGCATTACAATAGTCACTGCTTATTTTATTCCTTATTACTCTTTTAGTAATGCTGCATAACAAGAATTATACTTCAGTGCCTCGCCCTTCAAGGGAGGTTCCTTGGTGCTGGTGAGAGGTTTTTGATCTAAGGAATTGGACCTGTGCTCTAATTCCATGAATTGAGCCAAAATGCCCTCCATTTCCCTAGGCTCTGTAAGACCCGTACGAGTTTAACGCTCCCTCAGATTTAAATAATTTTTAACTGCCTCGTATGCACACAGTTCTCACCTAAAATGGGTAATGTGTTAATGGACTTTTTGCTTTTCACCATTTTGTTTCAAATGTCTATTTTAGATATCTCTATTGGTAACATGAAAGGTATTATAGAAATATAAAAGTGGGATGCTTGATTGTGCGTGGATGTTGTGCGAATGATAAGAAAGAGGTGATTGTGGATGCTATGAATGAAAAGAAGCTGGATATCCTGGCTTTAAGTGAAACAAAGCTGAAGAGGGTAGGAGAGCTTCAGTGGGGTGAAATAAATGGGATTAGGTCAGGGGTTTCAACTAGTTGGAGCTAAAGGAGGAGTAGCAATAATGTTGAAGGATAAGTTATGGCAGGAAAAGAGGGAATATGAATGTATAAATTCGAGGATTATGTGGAGTAAAATAAGAGTTGGATGTGAAAAGTGGATTATAGTAAATGTTTATGCACCTGGAGAAGAGAGAAGTGTAGAGGAGAGAGAGGGATTTTGGGAAATGTTGAGTGAGTGTGTGGGGAGTTTTGAATCAACTGCGAGATTACTTGTGGTTAGGGATCTCAATGCTGAAGTGGGTAAAAATGTTGTGGAGGGAGCAGTAGGTAAATTTGGGGTGCCAGGGGTAAATGAAAATAGGGAGCCTTTAGTTGAGCTATGTATAGAAAGAGGTGTGATAATAAGTAATACATATTTTATGAAAAAGAGGATAAATGAGTACAGTAGACCGTCATTTAGCACAAGTTTATTTGGCACGATTTGAGTATAGCACAATTGAAGAATTGTGACACAATTTTATGTAACACGTCGTATAATCAATGTAACACGATTCGCGGGAGGGGAAAAAATTTTGAGTGCGCGGTCGCCTGGTCGCCCGTGGTGGGTTATACCATCGAGTTCAATGGGGGAGGCCTACTGCCATCCCCATGCCACCCACATCCACCCACCACGCTCCCAGCCTCCAGTTAGGTTTATATGAATGTAGGTCGAAGATACTCAGGAACCTCACTGTGTTTGTATACATTCATTGTACTACATATTTTCATTGCCATTTGTTAAATCTGCCAAGCAAACATGGCACCCAGTAAGCATACAAGTGTTACTGAAAGTGACGAGAAAAGGTTTAAGCGTTCAAGTCTAGGAATTGCGAAGAAAATTGAGATATTAGACAAGCTTAAGAGTGGATCACGTGTGGTGAATATAGTGAGGGCCTGTGGCCTTAATGAAGCATCAGTTCGTACAATTAAAAAGAACGAGGTGAATATATGAGCTTGTGTAATGAATAACCCAAGATGTCGTTTCGTGAAAAGAATGACAGGTAGGTACCAGCAGGTAAATAAAACAGAAAACTTGTTGCTTGAGTGGAATGAACAAAAGACAAAGAAAGGTGCACCACTTAATTTCATCTAAATTAGGGAAAAGGCCTTACAATTGTTTAAAGCAGTGTGTGATAAGGAAGGAAGGCCTGAAAAAGTGTGTGTTTAGCACAGGCTGGTTCCACACCTTTAAGTTGCATAATAAGTTACATAATAAGTTTTCTGGTGAAAGTGCTTTGGCTGATCATAAAGCAGCAAGTAATTTCCCTGCTGAATTGCAGGAAATTATTTCTGAGTGTGGCTTTGAGCTTCATCAAGTGTTTAACCCTTTCAGGGTTCAAACCGTAGATCTACGCCATGAGCTCAGCTCACTGATAAACTGTGAGTGGTAAATTTGGGCTTAGATATGAGAGAATACATCTATGTGGTATGTGTGCACCACATAAAACAAACCCTGCAACACACTATGTATAATGAGAGAAAAAACTGAGACCGTGATTTTTTATTAAAACAGCGACTTTGCAGTGTTTTTTCATATGTTTTTTTATAGTTGTATTTGCGATTTCTTGGTCTCATTTGATAGGATGGAAGACATATTACAGAAATAGAGATGATTTTGATTGGTTTTAGCACTGGAAATGGCTTGAAACTGAGCTCAAAGTAGTGGAAATGTTAAATTTTTGCCGATGTTCAAGAGTAAACAAACGACCTCACACGTCTAATACACGCCAGCTGGTGGGTCTAATATACATTCACAAATGTGGTGATGGTATTTATACAATTATACAATATTTCATAACAGTAAATTTTCTATTTCTTGGTGTGAATAAAAATTCATTATGTGAATAAAAAATCAAAATGGAATTCATTTGTAAAGCCTCAAAACGTAACTAATGAACAGAGGAAATGTTAGTTTAGTTCCAGGAATACAGTGGACCCCCGCATAGCGAACGCCTTGCATAGCGAACAATCCGCATAGCGGACGCTTTGTTCGCTAAAATTTTGCCCCGCATAGTGGACAAAAACCCGCTCAGCGGCCTTCGTCCGAGACGCGTCCAATGTGCGCCCTCAGCCAGCCTCACATGTGCCGCCCGTGCCATTGTTTACCAGCCAGCCTCCGCGGTAACATTCAAGCATACACTCGGAATATTTCGTATTATTACAGTGTTTTCGGTGCTGTTTCTGGAAAATAAGTGACCATGGGCCCCAAGAAAGCTTCTAGTGCCAACCCTACACCTCAAAGGGTAAGAATACCCATTGAAATGAAGAAAGAGATCATTGATAAGTATGAAAGTGGAGTACGTATCACCGACCTGGTCAGGTTGTACAAGAAACCAAAATCAACCATCTCTTCTATTGTGGGCAAGAAAACGGCAATCAAGGAAGCTGTTGTTGCCAAAGGTTTAACTGTGTTTTCGAAACAAAGATCGCAAGTGATGGAAGATGTTGAGAGACTCTTATTGGTGTGGATAAAATGAAAAACAGCTAGCAGGAGATAGCGTCTCTCAAGCGATCATATG